TCCCCCTGCCCGGGGTGTGTGCCATCACTGCCTCCCATCACTGTCTCTCCCAAAATAAAATAACCCTGTTTCCTTTCCAAGGGCCCACTCAGTCCCACTTCCTCCAAGAAGCCTTCTCTGAATACCCCAGCCCTCACCTACTTCACCCCTACGCCCTGGTGCAGTTCTTAATCACACCTGTCACAAACCACCACATTTTGCTGGTTCCCTCTCGACAAGCAGAGAAAATCCTGCTATGTTAGCACAGTAGTTGAGAGCACTGCCTGTGGGGCCAGACAGATCAACTGAGTTCAAACCCCAGCTCTGCCATTTGCCAGCTGTGTGACCTTGGTAAGCTGCTTAAACTCTCCGTGCCTCAGTTTCCCCATCAGCAAAATGGAGGTGAGGACACTGGCTACCCCATGGGGTTCTTGTGCAATGAATGCCCTGGTGCAGGAGGCCCCATGTTAACTCTTGGTATTATTATCAGAGATGTTATTACCTGTGCTTCTACAGCTGCAGAGCTTTCAAAGCAGGAGATGCTCATCTCCCTGGAGGGCTTCACACCGCCCCCCTCAATTTGAGCTAATGGCCCCCAGAGACCTTTGCTAAAGACTGACTTGCATCCCCACTATACTCATGTGCTAATATTTATCCCCTCCCCAATGTGACTGTGGTTTGGAAACAGGGCTTTTAGGAGGTGATTAAAGGTTCATGAAGTCAGAAGGGTGGAGTCCCCATCTAATAGGACTGGTGGAGGAAGAGAGATGCTCACTGTCTCCCTCTGTGCCGGCATTGAGAGAAGTCGGTGTGAGGACAGGGCAAGACGGCAACTGTCTGCAAGCCAGGAGGAAAGGCCTTCCCCGGAACCCAGTAGGCTGATACCTTGATCTTGGGCTTCCAGACTCTGAGACTGTGGGAAATAAATGCCCGTGGTTCATGCCACCCCGTCTCTGGTGTTCTGTGCTGGCCACCTGAGTTGAGAGTCCCTTCCATGACTGTTGGGCCTCATCTGGGACCCCCAGGTCTCCAGGTGCCCTGTGAGAAGAGTCCAGGCCTGGCTTCCTCTTGCCTTCTCTCTGGATATAAAATCCAGGCCTCACATCCTCCATCTCCTCTAAGGTAAGGCCCATGGGGCAGTCCCCAAGGGGCCCTCCCTTCAGAAATGAGTCCCAAGGTAGGGTGGAAGAAAGGGGATGGAAACACAAATGGGGAAACTGAGAGGCAGAGCCTGGATCTGCATTGAGGCTGGAGAGCCCCAGAGAGGCCCAGGGTCCGGGGGACCAGGTAGGATCATCCTCAGCAGAATATGGGTAAAGCCAGTGATCAAAGCCACTCCACCTCAGTCACCCTGTCCTCTCCTCCCCTCCTCCCTAGACTCTGACCTTTGGCCTTTACCCTCCCTATTCTCCCCCTCTTCCACCAGCCCCAGACACTCTCTCTCTCTCCTCCAGAAAATCATCACTAAAGGTGGCCCCATCCTGCACCCTGCCGGGGTCCCAGGCCAAGTGGATGAGGAAACATCTCATCCAGCGGCCTGTCCATCTCCAGGGAGCCCTAGGACAGTGCTGGTGTCCGTGCCGTGTAGCAGGCTTCACAGGGAATGAGGCTGGCCTCCCATGGAGCTTCTACCCACGCCAGGCGGAAGGCCCAGAAGTGAATACATATCATCTTGCTCGCTAGGCGGTAGTGACAAGAGTTAGGGGGACACCAGGCAGGTTGAGGGGGTCAGGAGCGGCCTTCAAGCAACGGGGGCATATGGTGCATACACACTCCAGCAGCCCCTCTCAGTGGGCTGAGCCCGGGGTGGGTCCTCCAGTGCCTCCCAGAGGTCCCCAGCAGGACTGCTTGCAACAGGCTCCCTGTCTCACCTACACATGCTCATTGTTTCCACGGGCCATCGCCCAAATCAAATCCTTGTCTCAGGGTCAGCTTCTTGGGAAGCCCAAACCATAACACCACAGATGACGAGGCAGGAGTGGGAGCTGGCGATACACAGGCCCCCATCCTCTGTGTTCTGGGTGCATCTCTCTCCTTGGGAGCAGTCATCCCACATACCTGGCTCCCCGAGAGGGTGGGTCCTGTCCTGAGCCCTCTGCGTCCATGGCCTCCTGGAGGATGGGGGTCAGATCGGGCTGCTGTTCTGTAGGGGCAGCTCCCGATGGGTGCACTGCATGCTTCTCCCCAACCCCCGGCAGAGAACTTTGGGATGAATTCCCACCCAAAGGAAGCTACCCTCTGTCTTCAGTGGGACTGGGGGTGGAATGCATACAGCTCACTTTCTTCCCCTTCCTGGCCAGGTAGAGACATCCTGGCGATGGCTGGAGCAGCTTCTGCACAACATCCTGTCCAGCTTGATGCCCCTGAGGCAACTGTCCAGCCAGGGGGCCCTGCGCCCCTTCCCTTGTGATGGCCCAATTGCAGGCCCTTCATCACAGCACAGACGCAGAAGGCCAGCCCCAGTTTTATTCTGCAGTCCAGGTCCTTGCGGGGCAGCTCTGAGCTACAGTGAGCAAGACAGAAACCCCCATGCCCTCACAGAGCTGACGTGCAGAAGCCCTGAGGTGGAAGCATGGCTGCCATGGTTGAGGAATAAGGGGGCCATGTGGCTGGAGGGGAGTGAGTGACAGGGAGAAGGAAGGAGTCAGGTCAGGGAGGTTGAGGTGGGGAGGCTGAGGCAGGAGGCTGACCCCACAGGGCCCTGTAGGGCAGAGTGAGACCTCTGACTTCCTCCCTCAGAGTGAGCTGCGGGGTTTGAGAAGAGGTAGGATGTGACTGGGCTTAGGTTTTGAAGGATCCTTGGCTGCCGGGGAGATAGTGATGAGGGCAGGACGGGGGGAGCAGAGGGCAGGAAGCGGCAGGCAGGTGCCTGCAGTCCTTGAGGTGAGAGCAGACCAGCTCCAAAGGCAACCGGGGCAGGCACAAGTGGCTGCAGGCCGGAAATACTCTGACTCAGGAGCCAATGGGATTTGCTAATGGCTTGAAAGAGAGCGTGAGGCATGGAAGGAGTCAGAGACACTCTGGGGTTTGGGCCTGAGTGGCCAGCAGGTGGAGGACTATTTCCTGAGAAGGCAGCCAAGTAAGAGAGACTGTTTGGGGGAGCCTAGGACCTTGGCTTTGAAGACTTAAGATGCCCATAAGGAGCCTCCTTTCCCCCCGAGCTCCTACACAGGAGGGGCCAGCCTAGGGCTAAAGTGTCCTTCCAGCCTGTCCCAGGACCCCAGCCCGTGGCTAAGCCCCAGGCCTCTGAGTGTCCTTTCAACCCCTTTCTGACACCGAAAAGACTAATTCAGAGAGGCTGGGTCTCACACTGGCTTCCACTGCGGGCCCACTGGGTGCAAAGGGGTAGACTTGGGAAATGTGCTCCAGGAGGCCATCCTGGTGGGCTCCCTACCCCAAGTGTGGGGACAAGACAGAGACCCAGAGCAAGCACAGCCCCTAGGGACATGTAGGGCAGAAAACAATGAAGAAGAAGAATGTGGCCTAGAGAAGGCGGTGAGGAGCAGAGAAGGGCAGGGCCAGGCCTAGAGGGTCTGGGGGAAGGGATGGCTCCTTCCAGCTCTTGCCAAAGCAACCTGCCCCCTGTTCTGGCTGGGATGGAGGCAGGCTCAGCTGTAGAAGATGAGGCAGGACAGATGACCGTGTCAGGCCTTGGTGGGGAGGGGGGTCCCCACCTCCTTGTGAAGGAGAGAGATGAGCAAAGAGGGTGGTGGGGTTCAGAGGAGCAGGGGGCCGACTGTGACAGTGTATATGGGTTACCTGGCCACCAGTTTCTGGGCAGATCGACACCGCCACCTTGTCTGGCCTTCTCACTCCCAGGCTGTCAGCCCCACGGCAGAAGCCCCCTGCACCTAACGTTCAGCAGGGGCAACTAATGTTTGCAGAAATGAAGGAGCTTCCTGGCGAGTATTACCCCACCCCATTACAGGCCCCAGGATCCCTCCCTAGTCCCTGCACCTGGTACTCTGACCCCCACGTGCCCAGGGAAATGGGAAGCCCCATAATGTGATGCCAAGGCCCAGCAGAGGACCCAGCCCAGCTCTCGGGGTACACTAGATGAGAAGATCCTTCTCTGCCCAGGCACATGGAGCAAACCAGGGCTGCACACACCAATCCCCTGCCCTTATTGGGCTAGGATTTGCCCCCCCAATGCCAGCCAAGGCCCTTCAGCTCTGTCCCAGGGCAGGACCAGACCAGGTGCAACTCACGCGATGAACTGCACGCCGATGAACTGCACGCCCTCTCCTGTCCTTTGGCCCAGGTCCTCCCCGAGCCCCAGCCCCACCCCCTCCTGAACAGCGGGCAGAGGCTCCTCCGCAGTGGCAGTGTGGCAGTGCCGGAGCTCCCCAGCAGCCTCCGAGTCTGTCCCCAGGAGCAATGCAGCAGAGGGACAGACACGGGGGAGGGAGGACCACAGGCACCCCCACCCAATCCAACATGGAGATCCTGGGCTTGCTGGGGTCCCCCAGGAGGTCTGGGGCTCAGGACTGCAGGGAGAATGGGGAGCAAAGGGCCTGAGCTTGGGGGAGGAGAAGGATGCCTCTTGCCTGACCAGGGGGCTCGAAGCCCAATGCCCGAGATCACCTGGGGCCAGCAGAGGCAGCTGCTGTGGAGGGTGGGACGTGAATCTGCTGCTCTCCAACGGCCAGGGCCTAGCAGGGCCCTGAGTGGGAGCAGGGGATATCCTCACCTTTCCCTGCCCACCCCTCCAGCCTCAGCCTGGGGAGGGGTAGCCCTGTGGATCGCTGGAAGTGCCAGCCTCCCCGCAGCCCACGCCTCCAGCAGGGAGAGCGTTTCTACAGTCAGGACCTGTGGCGAGAGGGACAGGAGTGCAGAGGGGGAAGGCAGAGGTGGGGATTGTCCTCCTGTTCTGAAGAGGGCCTCCCAGGATGCAGGCTGCTCCCCCCCAGGTCCACTGACCCTGGCCCCTCCAGCCAGTATGCTTCCTACCAGGTGCTTGGAGGCAGGGGGACCCCACTCTCCCTGCAGCCTCTTCCAGCTGTCCCCATCGGGATGCCTACCTGGGCCTGTCTGGGCACCAAGCCAGGGGCAGGTAGGTGCTCACCACCCCCGCTGGGCCAGGCCAGGGCCGGAGGGGCTGGCTGTCCTCCACCGTCTCCGTGGTGGTGGGCAGGGAGGGGGCCTGGTGCCCGGGTGGGGGGCTCGGTCCTCTCGGGTTCCCTCCACCACCGGCTCAGGAAGGCAGCAGCGCCAGAACTGCAGAAGCCAGCTCCCCGCCCCCCACTGCTGCCTCCTCCCCTCCCTCCTCCCGACCCGCCTCCTTCCCCAGCCACCCACCTCCTTCTGCTCGTTTCTATGGCAACCGGGCAATGCTGCACAGCCAGCCTCCCTCCCGTACACCAGGGGACGCTGCCCTGCTATGTGGGGAGAACGTCACCTCGGGTGGGGTGAACAGACGGGCTCACAAGGCCACTCTTGACTGGGGGACCCTGCTCCAGGCCCTCTGCTTTCTCTCTCCCCAAGACCCTCCCTCCCAACATCCCTCGGAGACACTGCGAGCAGCACCTTCCCAAGCACTTGCCTTGGGTCCTTAAACTTCACTGCCTGCTGCTCCGTAAGCATTTGTTTGCTTCATCATTTACACTCACTTGGTCATTCTTCACGATTTTATGTTGAGCCCATTCTGGGGTAGGCTGAGTATGGGATGCTCATCTGACAGTCTCATCCCTTTGAGAATCCAGACCCTTTTTACAGACTGGAAAAGCTGAGGCCTCCAGTTGTAAAACAACTTGTCTGAGCATCTGAGGCTCCTGGGCTGGTTACTGGCAGGGAGGCCTTGTGATTCCAGTTCTGGTGCTGCTCCCACAGGGCCACCGCTATCACATACCCCTCAAAGAAGACAGCTAGGCTCGCACTGTACACGTGTGATCTACATGTGGCAGCCACGTGCCACACAAATGTACACCCCAACAACACACTTAAAGATACAAACACCCACATGTATTTGCACCCATGCAGTTCCACAAGTCTACATGCACAGGTGACAGATGCATATGCATAACTAGAACTGTAACATCAGCATTTATGCACCTTTAAGACACGTGTGCACACATCTACATGGATCCAGAACACGTAATACATAAACCCTTTCTTTAAAGTTTTTTTTTTTTTTTTTTTTTTTATTTATGATAGGCACACAGTGAGAGAGAGAGAGAGAGGCAGAGACACAGGCAGAGGGAGAAGCAGGCTCCATGCACCCGGAGCCCGACGTGGGAGTCGATCCCGGGTCTCCAGGATCGTGCCCTGGGCCAAAGGCAGGCGCTAAACCGCTGCGCCACCCAGGGATCCCTACATAAACCCTTTCTACACAAAATCAACAGCTGTCCACACAAGCCCCAGCCCTAGCCCACGGGAGGGGATCAGTGACACAAGCAAGAATCCAGTGTCAGAACCAGAATCCACTTCTGGGAAAGACCTGTCTGCTCTGCACCCGCCCTCCAGAGATCAGACTCTAATCTGCCCCCGTTCCTCAGCTCTGCTGCAGGAGGCCTGGGCTCGCCCTCCCCTAACTCCTTCCCTCATTCTGATAAGTCCCCTGCCTGATCCAGACTAAATCCTACCTAAAGCCCCTGCCTCGGCCAAGGGGGCTCACAGGTATCTCCACCCTTCCCCCCTCCCTCCCAACCCCCCCCCACAGTTGATGTCAGGTCCTGAGACTTAGAATTATGACAAATACAGTAAAGGGGGCCCCTCCTCCTTAGAAGGAACCCCAGGCTCAGATGACCCTGCCATCCCCCAGGAGGGGCAGTATCTGGTGGAGGCGGCTGGGATGTCAAGTGGGGATGGGGGCCCAGGACACATAGTGTGCCCTACAGGATGCACTGCCCCCACCCCAGCACCACCTTGGAAGGACCCTGGCAAGGATCATTGCCGACCCCGTGTCCCAGGGCACTTCTCAGGGGCTTCATACAGCCCAGAGAAGGCAGATACAATGGAAAGACCCAGAAGCCCACTCCAAAGCTGTTAATAATAATAGCCTCTTCCATATTTCATCCCATCTAAGACCCCCCTCAACCATGAAATTGCCACCAATTAAACCAGGGCTATCAGCTGTATGGCGCATGCAAATGAGAGATGTCAGCTGGGAGGGGGAAAACCATGTTGGGATAGGTGAAACAAGGCATCTCAGTCATCCAGCAGATGCTTACTGGGCACCCACCATGCTTACCAGGGACTGTTCTAGGAACTGGGACACAGCCATGGGCAAAACAAAGTCCCTGACCTTGAGGGTGCTGACCTCCTGCCTTCCTGCAGCACCTCTGGCTGTCACTGCAGCCCTACAGGTGAGGTCACAGAACTGACAAGGAAACAGAGGCTCCAGAGACTGAGCAATTTGCCCCAGGTAATACAGCCGGTAAATGCCTGGGCTGGGATTCAAACCTGCTGCTTTGCCAAGCTTTTTCCAATGCTCTACATTGGCTCCATTAAGATCTGATTGGTACACATGGCAACAGCCACCCATTTTCTAGAAGTTTCACAGCCAAGTGTGCTTCTCATCCTTAGATTAAAGGCAAAAAAAAAAAAAAAAAAGGAATAGAGGCAGAACAGGGTCATATGCATTTGAAGTGCCAGTCAAGAAGTGGGCATGAGTGAAGACCCCCCGCCAAATGACCTCAGAAGTCACTTATAACCTGACCATCTGGAGCCAGAAGCCTGACAGCCATCCCCAGGCCTGACCCTCAGTGGAGGGTCAAGTCAAGACCCAAACCAGACAGTGGGGCTGGCACCTGAGAGCCAGGGCTCCCTGGAGAGGGGACACCTTAGTTGGGGGTGAGGAGGGATTGGGTTTCCAGGCACTGTAAGCAGAGCCCCCGACCCACCTGTCAGGCCCCCAGCCCCAGATCATCTTTCTACTAAAGAGCCAGCTCCATTCTGCATTTTGAAAGATAGCTGCTCTCCGCCTCCACCCCTGCATCAACCAGCCCCAGCCCCACCTGCTGCTGGGCAGACTGTCCAGTTCTTCCTTCCCAGGCTTAGACAAGCTCTGTGGGAGAAGGTGACCCTTCTGTTGCCCCCTCTCTGCCCAGCCTGCAGAGCATCCACCTCCACGCTGCCCCACCATCAGCCTGATCCAGTCTCATCTGCTCCTGGGAAGGACCCCAAGCCACCAGTGTGCAGCCGTGTACTCTCCCACCTGCAGGTCTCAGACAGGCTCAGGGACATCCCTACACCACACACACACACACACACACACACACACACACACGCCCGACCTCAGCTCTACTCCCGTACCTTAACAATAGTGCAGTCCCACAGGCGCGAGCAGTCAACATGAGGAGGGGGCCTCATGCCACCCAGGAGAAGCTGACCCCTTCTCGTCCAACCCAGAAAACATTAATTGCCCCCTCCTTCCCAGCCCAACACAGCTATCCCACAGTTCCCCAGTGCCAGGGCAAATGCAATCAGGGCTTATTAGCTGCTGCTTTGCATCTCATTTGCATAATGTTCCCACGACTGTCAAAATGCCAGAATCCTCCCCAAACCCCTGCCCATGACAGGCAGGGCTGGTCAGCTCTGGAGAAATAAGATGGACAAAATTCCACTAAGGTGCTAAACATGGAGGGATAGGGAAGAGCAGAAGGAGAAAACCAAGGCAACTTCAAGTTCCAGACCCAGATAGGCAGCCAAAGGAAGAGCAGTAGATACTTACCAGGCACCTGCTAAGTCCAGGCACCATGCACAGTGCTTTATGCACTTTACCTATTTGTTTTTCACAATGAACCATTTTACAGATGTGGAAACTGAGGCTCCAAGCTGTTAAGACCTTGCTACTAAATGTCTAAATCTCAGGACCAGCAGCTGGGGTGTCACCTGGGAGCTGGGAGGAAATGCAAAAATTCAAGTCCCACCCTAGACCCTGAACTGGATTCTGCATTGCCACAAGATCCCAGGAGACTAGGGTAGGAGAAGTACTTGTTAAGGGAGCTGCCCTCTGATACACAGTCAGGAGATGAAACTGGTGCCTGAATCAGTTAATCCCAAATTAACAAATCTTTCCTGAGCACCTACTATGTGCAGCACTACACTAAGGAGAGGGACACAGGAGATAACCCAAAAGACAATATCCATAACCTTGCAGACATTTCATAGACATTCTCCCAAAGCGGGAGACACAAATACAACAAATACATAATTGCAGGTCAAGTGGTGATGGGGTGATGGGTGCTACTGAGAAAAATAATGTGGGGTAGAGAAAGGATGAATGAGGTGACATGTTAGGATCCCTCTTTGAGGAGATGACATCTGAACAGAGACTTAAATAAAGGGGGAAGAGGTATGTGGTGATTTGTGGGAACAGTGTTTTCCAGCACAGAGAACAAGGGCAAATGTCCTGAAGCAGGAGTAAGCCAGGCACACTGAAGACACCCCAAAACTAAATGGATGTGTGGATGGATGGACAGGCAGGTAGACAAAGGGATGGCAGGTAGAAAGAGATAGTAAATAAGGTAGGGATAAAGAAGAGGCAGGCAGCAGCTATATCCTGCAGGGCCTTGTAGGTTATGGGGAGAATTCTCCTTTCTTTCTTTTTTTAAAGATTTTTTAAGATCCTCCCTGCAGAGGGAGAGGGAGAAGCAGACTCCCCACCACGCAGGGAGCCTGATGTGGGAAGACTTTGGGATCATGACTTGAGCCGAAGGCAGACGCCCAACCAACTGAGCCACTCAGGCGCCCCTACCATCTTATCTAAGTATGAAGAGAAGCCATTGATATATTTTTTAAGATTTTATTTTTAAGTAATCTCTATACCCAACATGGGACTCAAACTCACAACCTCAATGTTAAGAGTCACACACACCACCAGCTGAGCCAGCCAGATGCCCCAAAGCCTTCGGTATTTTTGAACAAGGGGAAAACAGGATCCCATTTATGTTTTTAAAAGATCGCTGTGGCTTTTATGTGGAAAAGTGAGTAGGAGGAGGCAAGGGCTAAAGAAGCAAACCAGTTAAGAGGTTTTTGAAATATTTATTTCCAACAGAAAGGAGTGCTGTGGGCACTAAAACACACGCCCAAAAATATTTGTTCATAACAGCAAATTCTCTTCAAAGCAGCTCTGTTTATAATAGCTCCAAACTGGAAGCAACCCAGATGCCATCTACAGAAGGGCTGATCAGCAAATTGTGTGGTTTACTGCACAGTAAAAGTAGGTA